TTTGCAGGAATAAAGCATCTCTGAAATCACCCTGGTCAAATATTAAGCTGCCATACATGTTATTCCTCTTTATTTATTAAATACCCACTCTGCTTTAGAAGCCCTGGTGATGGAGTGGGTTATGCATTGAATTGGCTGCTCACTGCAAGGTCAGCAGTTCAAACCCACCAGTTGCTCCATCGGAGAAAAACAGGACTTTCTACTCCTATAAAGAGTTACAGCCTTGGTAACTCAAAGGGGCCGTTCTGCTTTGTTGGAATCAACTTGATGGCAATGAATTTGGTGTGGAGTGAGTGGCTATGCTTCAGGTTGGTAGTTGCCAAACTTTCCTTACCATGTGCAAGAAAAAATCCATGGGTTGTTGTTTTTTTCCTATTAAAAAAAAATATATATATATATATGTATGTATGTATGTATATTGGAAACAAAGGTTTCTTAAAAGCAATTGTGTAGCTAATGCATTCTGTTAGTTTTTTGTTCTCTCTTTTTCTGTCTGTAATTTTATTCCCGGCCACTAAATATATTTATAATTGGAAAAACATTGCTTTAGGCACCTGACGAAGGCATGAATACAGTATAAGAGATTATTCCCGTCTTTAAAAAGATCATATCTCTTAAGGGAAGGAAAACAGGGACAAATATGGATAACCACAAGACAAGGAAGGGAAGCAGGAAACTAGAAGGTATCTGAAAAGACATCTCATCTTAACCATTTCATGTACTAAGTGAGAACAAGAAGCTCAGAAACGTCAAGGGACTTACGTAATGGTCCGCAGCAAAGTAGTATCAGAGCAAAACAAGCATAGCCTCTTGGGTGGCTCAAGTCTCTTAAGATCAAAAATTTTTAAAAAACAGAATAATAAATTTTATGCTATATTTTAATTTTGTTTAAATTTATACTTTTTCTATACACACACACTCATGGGTGCAAAGGCAGGGCAGTGGGAGAATGCTTCCCTGTAGAAGTCTCCGATTTGGTCCCCTGCACTATGCAGAGCCACCAGCTCTGTCCGTGGTGGCTGCAAATGGACATCATGTGCTCAACACGTTGCAGCAAAGCTTTCCGACTAAAAGGGACTCAGAAGGTCTAGTTGTCTACCTCCAAAGACCAGTGTTTTGTTCCATTGTGCATGGCATCGCCACAAGTCAGAGCCAACTCCTCCGTAGGTGACACAGCAACAGTAACACACATGCACACATATTCCAATAACAATTGCAGTATGAGCATTTACTGCTTGTGTTTGGTATATCATTGATGCTATGGACTAGCAATGATACACTGATTTAACGTTCTATCGTGTGCACCTTCTTGCAGGCCTGTCAGGGTATTTGGGTGAGGAAACTGTATCTCATTTGACGATAATATTGTTGTACAAACTGAAAGACATTAGGCTTCCGAGGAACAAACAGTAGCCAAATGGATAAACTGCACCCTTATCACCAGCACCCACCTTCATCAAGATAATATTGCCATATTTTGTCCTCCAATCCTACTCGTGATGTTAAGATAGCTCCTAATAAGGTTCAGTGCTCTCTCCATTTCCAACCGGTTTCCTGCTTCTGCTCGCCTGGGTTACCAGCTCTGTCTTCTCATCTTTGCTTTGGGGCAAAAGTGACCCTTTGGTCTCCTATGGTTTCTAGTTCTAAAGAACATATTCCAAACAGGTGCTATTGTTTTTTATAAAGACCAATCCATTATTTGGCTGAAAGGTGACCTTGGTGAGTAGATTCAGTTTCAAAATTACAAAGGTGTTGAGAGCAGTCATCTTGGGCTGCTCTAGTCTCTATCAGAGCAGTAAGTCTGGTTTTTGTTTGTTTATTTTGATTGATTTGATTTTTGTTCACCATTTCACTCCCATTCTAACTTGGCCCTTCTGTCATGACGCTGGCCAGAACACTTAGTAGTAGTGTTGGTCTCAGGCTGCCGTCATGTGGGCCATTAGTCCTTCCGGCTCTTTGCTTCCTAGAGACTTTGCTTTGCTTCACTCTCCTGTGCTCCGCATGTTGTTAGGTGCCCATGTGTTGGTTCTGACTAACGGTGACCCTGTGTGAACCAGAGCGACACACTGCTGGGTCCTGCACTATCCTCAAAACTGTTCTGATGTCTGAGCCCAGTGTCGCAGCCCTGTGTCAATCCACCTTGTTGAAGGCCTTCCTCTTTCTCACTGCCCTCTGCTTCGCCGAG